CAGGGGCAAATCTGGGAAGAACAATACAGGGTGGGAGGCCAGTGATGCACATGACATAGAAGAGGAGTTTTTGTTCTGAGAATTTTAAAGACTGAAAGGGCAGTATGAGGAGGCAAGTATAGCTTAGTGCAGAGGACTGGCTATTACAGCACCTGGGTTTATTCTAGCTCATACTGATTCATTGGGTGACACTGGACAAGCATTTAGACCTCAATTTTTTTAAAAAGTGTTCACTAAGTTTGTGTGCTCAACTTCAAGTTATTAGAAGGCGCCTCAAACTGGAAACCCCCAAATTAAGCCACCTAAAGTTAATGGACACTTAAAAATTAGGACCACACCCCCACTGTCAATCACCTTAACCGTGTATAAAATGGGTACAGAATCATCTCACATGCAGTGTCTTGAGGCTTAGTTAATTGTAAAGGGCCTATAGAGATCAACACAATAAAAAATAAATAAAAAACAACAACACAATATAAGTGCCAAAAATTACTGTTCCATGTATTATGGCAAATATCCAATTGTATATGCCTAGTCTACAGAAGATATCCTATACATTAATTTTGTATTAGTCCTACCAGTTGAGGGCGGGCTGGATTCAACTGTCTCTAGAACCAGGACATGGCAAAGGTGAACAGGACAGGAGTTAGCCGTGAGAAGCAGATCTGGCACCAATCATTTGCAATGGAACTTGAAATGAGGCAAAAACCAACAGAGTGTATTTGCTGTCTGGTTACAGTATAAAATTCTCCCAAAGCTAGCATGTATCATCTGTATGTAAAAATCCTACAGAATTTGACTGAGAATAGCTTCCATAGTATTTTTAAGCCACTTTATAGAATTCAACAGCAAGGATATACTTCTCTATTACATGCTATAGCTTGGTTTAAAAAATCTGTAAAAAGGAGCACCTTCTCCATTAAACCATGCCCATTTTTAGAGTAATATCTATAGAACCCTATTTCATTCCTATGGAACTTTTGACATTTTTCCTTATTAAATTCCATGTGGTATTGCTGGGTTTCATTGCAAAATTTACAAAACATAGTCATACCATAGATAGAACTGCCTCCACTCACCAGTTTCATTATAAATCAGACTAAACTTAACAGCTTCGTCTGAGTTTTTCATTATCATTTTGGATTCATACAAACCTAAGACTCAAAGCAAAATTAGCGAGGTTGAAAAACTTCAAAACCTAAATATAGAGATTAGATAGAATCATCTAGAAAAATATTAAAATGTACAAGTTAGGACAAAAATGAAGGTGGAACAAGGAATTCAAAGCAGACGTTGGCTGTAATTTCTTTTTCCCCAATCGTTTTGGTTTCTAGATCTCTCTATTGACCTGACCCAAAGCCCACTGAAATCAACAGGTATCTTCCCTTTGATTCAAATGGGGTTTGGATCACACCTTAAATTCACACCTGTGAAATTACCTGTAATGTTAAGCAAGCTATATGCACACAAACTAAGGATGATAGGATATTCTACAAATCCCTTATTGTTGTTCTTTATTTTTTGTGCAACAAAAACCAACACTGATAAACCAAGGTTCTAAAACATACATTAAATATATTGTTACAGTATTGTGTAAATGAAAATGTTTCCTAAACTCTTTTCTTCCAACACCTTTTGGGTCCATGCTGCTAGATTTATTGGAAGTCATATTGTCAGGTGGGAAAGTCTGTTTGTGCTCTTTGTTTGGAATTGTACAAGTAAAACGCTTGCAATGCAACTTATGACTTTCATTTCAGTTGCAGTCTGTGATTGCTAACACTTTCTAGCTTTTATAATGTATAAACGAGATAAATTGTTAACACTTAAGAACTCCCCAGGGAGTAATGAATGACACAGTTTTCTGTGTTATCCCTGATAAAGTTTAGGATATGGAAAGCAGTTTTAATCCTCTTTCTATACTCTCCCATCTGTGCTTCAGAGCTGGCAGAGTGAATTACTACATTCCAGAGCACTGCTGCAGACATCATTTCATGTTTTCAAAGCTTAGATAATTTTCCTCCACAGTATATTTTTTTAATCTCTGTAAAAAAAGTAAAATGTTTGAGAAAGCCAGGCCAAATAAAACTGCTGAATTTAAAAGATGGATGGTGATTTGTGCGAAAACAGAGCTTCATAAAGGTTGCTCAGAATACAGAACTAAGCCAAACTAATTACTTTGTTTACAGAAAATCGGCAATGCACAGTGTCAAGGTTTAACTCAATTTTAATCTTCCATTAATTGCAAGCCACTTTTATGCAGGAATAGACACTGACAAATATAACTGAAGGCAATCTTTTAATTGTACCTTCAATGTCCTATCACCTCTGTCTTCGACTTGAATTCAGCTTTCATGTTGCAGATTACGTTCACTTGGTGTATTTTCTCCATTAACTTGTTTAATCACATTTAGGGCTCATTTCTGATCTTTTCTGTCTGTGAGTGAAGCCTGGATTTTCCACTGGATTTCTTCATGGTTTGTCATATATGTATCTTGCCTGTGGTTCTACCACTAAGGATAAGGGGACTGATCCAATATTAACTGATGGCCACAGAATGACTCCCATTGACTTCTATGGGTATGAGATCAAGCACAGGTACATTTGGCGGATATAAAGTGTTGTTTACAGTGGCATTTCCCAACATCTGTGTAAAAATGCTATAGGAGCCAGTTATCAAATATAACCTACAACAGCACTGCAAAAAGCCAGCCAGCCAGCCCAGTGCATCACTGAGGTCACTGTATGGCTGAGGAACCCCTGCTTAAAGTTAAATCCTAACAACATGGAGTTATATGCAGAGGAAGATCCTTTGAAGGGTTTGCAGCCACCATGCAACCTTCACCAGTCTATGCCATGTACCCACAAATCATCAGAACACTCCACCAGACAAGATATTCTTCACTAAGCTCACACATAACAGCATCTGTTAGTTCTACCACCTGTAGCTAGCTAGAAGACTGTCTCATCCTTGCTGGTGATGGCCTAGCCTCAGTAATGCATGTCTTTGTCACCACCCAACTGGATTAAAGCAATGCAATTTATGCTCATTTAAAATCACTCTGAGACCTTGACAATTCTGCTCCTCAGGCTATGGCTATACTGGAAAGTTTACGGGGCGTAGCTGAACCGATGCAGCTGCGCTGCTGTAAGCTGTCTAGTGTAACCACTCTAAGCTGATGGGAGAGAGCTTAATTAATCCACCCTCAATGAGCAGCAGTAGCTATGTGGGTGTGAGAAGCTCACCCACCAACATAGTGCTATTCACACTGGTGCTTAGGTCGGTGTCACTTATGTTGCTCGGGGGTGGCTTGTTCACATCCCTGAGCGACATAAATCGTAGTGTAAACATAGCTTCAGACACAACCAAATTGTCTACTGCAAAGGCGAAGCTCATAAGTTCATGACAGAGATAAAGCTTCCTGGAGGGCTGTCCCAAGACTGTGGGACTCACTCCCACAGGAATTACAAAGTGCTTCAAACCTCACCATTTTCCTACTCCAAATACAGAGCACACTTCTTCAAACTTGCCTTCCAAACAACAACTGAGCAGCTCAGCTACTCAAAGAGAACATGCAATCTCTTTCCCAAGGAGTGGAGAGGAACTCCACTTGACGGGTGTTAATCATTATGCTTGTATTTAAGTCTGAAAGGCACTCCAATATAATGGTGTGGAGCACAGTACAAAAACCTAAATAGTATACTAGCCAAGGGGTATCAAATCTCAGAGTTGGCCACCTTACTTTAAGTACCCGCATTTGAAAATAGGGCTCGTTGACTCTAGAAGAGCTTCACATAAAGGAATCACAATTATATGATTTACAGTATCTTCACTTTATAGTTTGAACAAAAAACCCCCACCATTATTAACTTTTTTAAAAAAATCTATATTTGCAAAGAAATAAAGTATAAGGGTACCAAGTTTAATTTTTAACACTGATATTAGGGGATTCTGATTGGAATTGATGGTTGCTGGGATAACACCTGGAAAGCCACAAATCACAGGTCATATGCGTGCACCATAAGATGAATAGACAAATGGGAGTTTGAAGTTGATACATCTGAGTTTTTTACCAAATGATCAGTTTTGACAAGGAAGCACAGAAATAAGTTGCTCACTGAAGGCATAGGGCAGGCTGCTGAAAAATTAGCAGCATGGTAAGGCCATATGTATGGGATTTGAGGAAATAAGGAATCAGGGCTGTCAAGTATCCTGCATATCACATGACACTCATTGGAATAAGGAGGACTTTCTAGGTTAGCATCCCCTTGTAGCAAGTTGGGGAGCTATACCAACCTGCTTCCCTCCTCCTTCATGTCACCATGCCCAATTCTGCATTCGTCTAGTCCTTTTTATGACTTGAGCCCCCTTGGCCAGGTCCTGAATAGTCTCTGCCCCCTTCAGCATAACGCCTCCCTGATTACCTACCCTCATTCACTCCACCGACAGTTTTCTTCCCACCAGCTCCCCCATTCCCACAGACTGCCTCTGGCTCTCTCCAGCTTTCTGCCCCTCCCCCCAGGCCCCTGATGGCCCAAACTCTACCCTGTTATCCTTCTCCGACCCCTGCCATCACACATCTGTTTCTGAGGACGCCAAAGAATAGGATCCTGCCTTCTTCTCCCCCACCCCACCTGCTCCTAGTGTGCAGTTGGGGCCAGGTGTTGAGTGAAGAGAACCTGAGTGGGAAATAACTTATTCTCACTGATAAGAAAAGTCACACATGCAGCTGCACAAAAATTGGCACCTACATGACTGTGATTGATTTAACTATTCTGTGTAGTCTAAATTAAAATTGTATACAAAAATATGTTAAAAGATATTAAGGTTGCAAAGTCAAGCACTTGACAGTTAGGAAATGTCAGAGTTCAGATTGTCCACACAACCATCAATCGACCCCCTTGTGAATACGCATCTGATACAAGCACCACTAGAGCTGTGTGCTGGGGGGTGTCTGGCTCTCTCTCCCCTACCGCCACAAAACGTAAGGAACATGCCTTACCCAGCTGTGGGGGCTGTGCTGGTCCAGGCAGCGGAAGAATTATTGGGGGCCACCTTTCTCTCCCAACCTCTCAGACGGTATGTCTGCTCCTGATAGTCTCAGTGTAGTCTTTGCTGTTGCTGCTGCTCTGGCAGCATAATGGGCTCAGCTCTTTAGGATGCTAATGTTCAGTTATTTTGGCAAGCTGCCACATTTCTTCTGAGGCAGGCAAAGAGGAAAAAAAGGGGAATGGTAATTTACATCTAAGCAAAACCTGAATGGAATGTCATGAAATAAAGAGACACCTCTGTAGCATCAGAGCTTTTCCCCTTTGCATTCTTATCAGAGTGTAACTGTCATCAATCTATCTTTGGCAGAGCGCCCCCTTCAGGAGCTATGTGGGAGTGAAAGCAGGCAAGTCCAATTACTCCTGCTGAGGGGTGTGTCAGTCTAGCAGGGCTGGTGCTCAGTCTTCCAGCTGAAGCTCTTTGGCTGTTTCTTTCCCTCTCAGACTCCCAGGTGAAACAAACAAAGCAGTCCAGGGACAGCAAACAGGGTTAAATAAAAAACATAAAGGAAAAGAAAGCAAGCCTGCAGGTGGCCTCTCTTACTTCAGAAGGCCTTGGAAGTATCACAGTACACCCCAGGATCCACTGGCTCTCCAGTGTAAGTCTCAGTTTCTTTTCCCTTCTTAGTCCAAGGTATCCGTATTCTCCTTTATGCGAGGACAGAGGCTCTGTTAGCTAACAGACGTCTCTGGAAACTAGGGGACACAACAGCCCATTCCCTTCACAGGATTGCCCCCATCTGAGTGGAGTTCCCTCCTTTTAACTCCTCCAGACCCAACATTATTTGCAGGAAGGCCAGGGCTACTCTAGCCCAAAATAGCCTTAGCCTTAATCCCTTCCATGCTGTATGTGGGGTTTGTATACTACATCACTGTGACCTTACCACTGATACACAGCATACAGATGACCATAAATTGGTTCTGAAACTATGCAGTGCATTATATGAAAAGCTGGCAGGCATTTTTATTTTGACCTAGATTTTGTCTTCTAAAGAAAAATTTTCTGATAAGTTTTTCGTTAAAAAAACCCACAAAATACTTTTAATGAGGAATTTTGTGGAAAATACTTATTTTCCTACCAGCTCTATGTATAAATGATCACATGACTGTTTTCTCTTTTAAAGAGTGTTATTAAACTACATGTGTCAGCAGTTTGAATGAATGTGCTTGACGGGTATCATAATTGCAGTACTCATGTTGGACAGAGAATTCTAAAGAAGTAGACTGCACATGAAAACATTAGCGAGACCAGCCCCTGACAGATTACATGTAGGCCTGCCTGGATGCACAAGAGCAGCAGGCTGGGGTAGGACCCAAAAGGGATAAGGTAAAAGGAGCATTTCCTGTCTTGAGTTCATGTGAAGGGGCCAGACACAATCCAGTCCAAATGGGGTGCTAATCACATTCACATCTGAGGAGAGCAGAATCTCTAGCCTCACCAAAGCAGGCGGAACCATGGCCCTACCCACTGCCAAACTGGCTAGCAGAGCTGGTTGTACATGTGAGTGAAGCATGTTGCCCCTATAGAAAGCTGCAGCAGAAGCAGCTTTGGTATGTACACCCCCAGAGCCCTCAAAAGGAATTGTACCTGCCACAATGCCCCCAGGAGCTCCTGCTTGGATGTTGTCTTTCCAACTCCCCTCCCCACTATGGGGCTGAGTCTCAAAAAGTATAGCCTCAAGTGCACTGAAGAAGAATTGAATTTCTTGGAGCTAGTTAATACTATGCTTCCCCGGCATCAGGGTAGGCATAACTGCAGTTAATTAGTGGCATTCCTAATTAAACTTTTGCCAAGTAAATTTAGTTAATCGTTCAAAACACATTTGTGAGATTCTGAACAATGAGCGGCTTACCCTCCACCTTTGTGAAATTACTGTTAATCATTCATTAATCTTTGCTTCATCCTATTTAAACCTTTCCCCTGTGGTTTTAAGATTTCCTTCTGCCTGCTAATCCACCGCAGGGAAAGTGATGTGTAAACATCCCAATATATTTTGATAGGCTTTTCCTGTTTGTGATGGTAGGTTCTATCAGCTGTATTTTTAGCTTTTCCAAGCATTATTTATAATTCATTCTCCCCTCCTCCCCCCCCCCCCCCCGCATTCAATCAAATTCATTTAAAGGTACAATTAAATGGAACCAATATGTAGCTCAGGGTACTGAAGAGTGAGACATCCTGCACCTACTTCATCATTCCCTTTTCATCCAGACTCTGGGCTGAGCTGCATTTCAGTATGCAATACCCTCATGCCTCAGTGACACTACAGTGGGTGAAGATGAGAGCAATGGGAGCTTTCATATATCCTAGTTGTATAAATGATATCCAGCAATGCAGTGTTTCTCTGAATTCCCCCTCCATTGAGTATGTATCCTTTACTCTGAAGCTCTCTATTATAAGCTAGCATTGATGTAAATGACTGCACTTCTGCTCCTGACTTTCCTGAAATCCATTATAGGCAACCCTTGCCTATGATTTACGCCTCATTATAAAAATCAAATTTCTTTGTTGTCAAGAACAAATTGAGTGCAGCAAGCTGAAGGAACCAGCTCCCTGACATATGGTGACATCACATCAGACTAAGGCTAGAACTTTCAAAGCAGTGAAATGATAGACACTGCACCCTCTTAGAAGGGGAAAGGAAGCACTCACCATCAGGTTAAATGCAGATTGCTCTGAACTGTTAATTTGCAAGAAATATGTATTTTAATTTGAAGGAATAAATGGTCTGATTTATTCTAGAAGATATAAAACCAAAAATCACAGAAATCCCCTCTCCCACTTAGGGCTGCCAATTTTGGCTGGACATATTCCTGGAGGTTTTAATCACATGACATAATCTTTAATTAAAGATTAATCTTTAATTCCTGGAGACCCAGCACAATCCTGGAGGATTGGCAACCCTACTCCCACTTGTTCTGTAAATTAACATTTCATCCTTACCTTGCTGGCAAGACCAACCAAAATATTAATAAATGTTCAAATTAAGTATTGTTCCAGCTCTGTTCAGACTGTGGAACCTTCAAGTTCCTTTGCAGTCTGGTAACTAATTGTTATAATGGCCTATATTTTAAAAGAAAATGGTTGTACTTGCCCTTTTATGTAGGAACAAGCTGAGTCAGTGTGTAAGCAAGACAGAAAACTTATTTAAGAAAATAAATTCCACATTAGAGAAAATTACAAGGATAAATTTAGATCATATTGATCTTAAAATTAGACCTGTATAACATTTCCTTTGTACCAACTATTCGGAGGTGGCATTTTTTTGAAGATTTGGGTTCTCCCTACTGGCCCCCATTAGCCTTTAATCTTTCACGAGTGTGTGTGGTTTTTTGGTTTTTTGTTTTTGCTTTTGTTTTTAGAATAGTTTACATTGGATGCACTATTTAAGGACAGTTTGAGAAGCAGATTACTGGACTATGTACAGATAACCTGACATCAAGCAATAGAGTTGCAAGTATGAAATAATGCATAATTTTCTTCTATTGCTTATATTTTTGCTCTAATTCTGCTTGGTAATACATATTGCATCTTAGATCCATCAGAGTTAAAGTATAGAAATACTACACAAGAAAATAGAGAACCCTTGCTACTTAAGATCCTACATAGCACAGTTTATGGGCTAATTTTCTTCCAGGAAAATATGTTCCATACTGGTCAGTCAAGATAGTAACCCTAACTACTTCCTGCATATTATCAAATATGTTTTGCATAGGAAATGAAATGACAATAAAAGTAAATGAATTTCACAAAGGTACAGAGTGTTGCTTTTGCTTATCAAAGGCACAACTGTGACCCCCAGACCTATGCTGACAGGCTACTTATGAAGTAGGGTACTACTCAACATTGATGAGTATGGCAGAATCTGGCCTAAAATGGTCAAGGCTTGAACAAATATAATTTCACTAGGGTACAGTAATTCTTAGCTATGCATCAAATCTTTTTTTAAACTGGTTTGGTATGAAAGCTACAATCTGGTTGCCATTAAAGAGGCTTTCAATCCATATGCAGTGGGCGCTATTAAAAACTTTCCAGTTTGTCTTAAATAGATTAGGTAATACTGCAAATACAGGTGTAACCTTAACGTCTTTATTCTGTGTAGGAAGAACTAGATTTCTGTGCAAACATTATTTAGTCATCTAAGGAATCAGACTTTAAAAAAAGTGACCATTATCATTTCCTAATGAATGCATATATAGGAACTACAAAGCCTCTTCACCAATTAAATTACATGATCCCACAAGACTTTAAAATAGCTATTTTATTTTTCTTGCTGGCTAATTTGTCACAGCTAACTGTCTCTTTACTTCCCAGACAGTTACTTCATAGCCTAAAGGAGTATAATCTCTTCTTTTTCACTCTGTCACCTTCGGCCACATTGTATTCTTCTGCAGGAAGGAAACAGGGGACTCAGGAAACTCTGTGTGGAGTTTCTTTTGGATGCTGCATGTGTAGTTTGCACGGGGGGGGGGCACAGAAAATGAGGAGATTGGACCTTCAGACTGGCCGAGCCTGGGGAGCTGCAGGGGACCCAAGTTTCAGTTAACATGGTCTAGAGAAGCATTAATTCCTGTTTGGATATCTGTGAGGCGCATGCCAGGGGACTGAGTGTCTATAGCATCTCACAAGGCACACTTACTCCCTCACAAGTTTGTGTGTGTAAAGACAGAATCCAGAACAGAAGAGAGACCCCTGGAGAGAAAGGAGAAATTAAACAGAAAGGGTAACAAGGGGCCTTTCAGAACTGAGGAAGTCAGGAAAAGCTACTGAAACATGCCTGCAGGGACAGCTAAGAAAGATGTGGACAGCTATCACTAGAGATCAGGATCAATGTGAAAATGTGTCAAGATAGTAGACACACCTGAGAACTGCTGTAAGTGAGTAGGAAGGAAAAGAGGATAAAGAGGTATTAGATGCAGCCAGACAGAGTAGGCTTTATTTCAGATTTTCAAATAGGTGCATTCAGGTATTAAAGAGAACAGTCCACGGTCTAGCTCAACATATCTATTTTACCTTTACTCCTTTGATATGATCTTTCTGACCACACCCATGGCTCTGGCCT